ATAGATAATACTTGTATTTCCATATAAAAATAGCCCTCTCTTTTTTCTCTTCAGCATTCAGCTTGTTGTGCTTACTTGCTGCCAGGTTTTCACAAAGGTAGTGGTTGAGGTAAGTCATTCAGTATGTAGCCTTGTAACTTGAGATTTGGCCTTTCCTTGAATTTTAAATTTCTAGTCAAGAGAGACCAGATGTAAAGGTCCATCACCTCTAAAATAAGCCCTGGTCTTTTACAAATTGTCTATCTAAACCCAGGCTGTCAGATTTAGCCCTTAGAATCCTGTTAGGAAACACCTCTAACTTCTGGGATCTTTCAACATGTAACCACCCAGGATGGCCAGATTGACATCACCCGTTCCCATCTTTTTACTCCTTTAAATGCTGACCTCCACCAAGTTGAACGATCTGCTTTCACACCCTGCCAAAAGGAGCTGAAGGTAGTTGATGGAGCCCCACACTTTTTGAAGAATATGTTCTGTGAAAGCTGAGAGGTGCTACTTGTTGCTTAGGGGAGAGACACAGAGGTCAGAAGCCTTCACTTATGCAATCATTCTGCACTTGGAAAGCCTGAGGAAATCATGTCTGGGATGCACCTTATGTGATCATTCACAGGATGGTCTTTTGATTTGAGTTGCAGTGGCAGGTGGGGGTGAAGAAGTAATTAGAACATTTTGTAAATTCTGAACAGATTTTTAAGACTCTGAAATTGGTTTTGGAGCTACTCTTGATTTCTAGATATGATGTAGAATGGACCTCTGAATTCAGAGGATTTTAGTGATACCCTCAGGTAGCCTCTGAAGAGAGAGGGTTAAAATAGTGGTTGCCTGGATTTTCTAATTGCATCTATGGATTGTGTAATGAAAATGTTAAGTTTGCATATGAAATGCAGAGTCCTGAGTGGGGGCCGATGCTCTAAGTGACAGGACTGTGGAATTTAATTCACAAGAATACTATTTTGCTTTGTTGGATAGCTTAGTCATTTGACAGTTAGAGGTTGTCCATAATAACCAATTATGTAGGAGGGAAAATTCTATTTTGAAATGAGTCTAACTTGGGTGAAATTTTTCCTGAGATTTGCATGTTGTCTGCCTACCTTGAAAATATCTGTTTATTAATTATATTCCACACCTGTCCACTTTTAAAACCAGCTCAGCATCTCTCAGTGTGGCCAAAAAACACTAGTTCTTGGGAGGTACTTAGATGTTTCTAGGAAAAAAAAAAAACCTACTTTGTGTCCTAATAAGTTTAGGAAGTACCAAGGTAAACAAAATGAATCAGGTTTCTTGGTACTTCTCAGTGCCTTTGAAATGTTTGATCACAGAACCTATTTTCCCTGGATGTCTCCTCAAAGTAGTGTTCCATCGAATATATTTCAAGAAGCCCTGTATCATATTATTTCTAAGTACTCTGAGCACTGCTCTTCCTTCTTTAATAGCTTCTCAGATAGCCTAACCCTACCTAAAAAAAACCATGCATGGCCATTTTAAGTATGGGTTTTCTTGTGTGTGTTTTTTTAAACAAAAGTAACAGGACCATGGAATTTAATTCACAAGAATACTATTTTGCTTTGTTGGATAGCTTAGTCATTCAGCCATTTAGAGGTTGTCAGTAATACCAAATGATATGGGAGGGCAAATTATATTTCAAAATGGGTTGTGTTTTTATTTTTAAACAAAAGACAGAAAAAACAAGAAAACCCATACTTAAAACAGCCATGCAATCTTCTTTGCAAATTTGGAAGATATTATATTTGCACACACACATGAACACACACACGCTATCCTTTTTTCTAAATTTACCCTTCTCCAACTAAAACAAGATTTAGCAACAGATGTGGAAGTGCACACAGAACTGTACTTTTTGTCTAGCACATGTGTCAGTGGGCAAACTGCATTAAAACAGAGGTATATAAATTCCTCATTTTTTGCCCATTTCCTTTCTGTGCCATGGATTTCTTTCTTTCTTTCTTTTAAATTACAATATTTGCATTCTCAAGACAGTTCTGAGATCTGTTTAAATAATATTTTCTGGCAAAGAAAAGATTGTATCCTTTGTTCAATAACTTCACAAACAAAATGTATTTCAGAGGTTGAAAATAGCTGAGTTGGTATGGATTTGATGTATTAGAATTGTGGTGCAGGATAAGAGGGTGAGAATTTGTGGATTTCAAATTTAATGTTCCTATTTTAATTATATTTATTTTAGATTCATGATGCTACCTTTCATCCAGGCAACTCCATTATGATATTTGAATATTTTAATTCCCTACTCTTTAGATGTAACTGAAATATGTTTCCCAGTAGACCTCAAGCACTAAGTATATGCACATCCTGGCTCAAGGCTCTGAAGAGCTGGGCCCTGTCTCTGAGTCTTCTCTTTTGCCACCACATCTGCTGACGCCACTCCACATGGAACTTGGTTAGCAGTTTCAGTTCATTTCACTGCTCCAATTTCAATTTGTTTTGGTTGTCCAGAAACACTCACCTCTCTTTTTTAATTGATGAAATTTCTTGTTATTATTTTTAAAATGTTTTTAGAACTTCTTGAATATTAGGTAAACCTAATTCAAGATATATTATTCAAGAATATGCTATTGGTTTTATGGTTTTTAAAATGAACTATAATCCACCATTGAGTGGATTATTAAAGCACCCTTTTAGACACTCTTGCTTCTGTGAGTCACAGGACATTTCAGTATGTTGACTGCTGTAATATTTAGTTTCACAAGTCTCCCCTCAGTAATGATGATTACCAAACTCCTTAATTACCAAAATTATTATATATATGAAATCTAACATTTAGGTATACTTTCTTTCCACCTCTCCACCATCCCTCTCTGTTTCCCCAACATAGAGACTTATTTATTTATTTATTTTTTTAAAGATGACTGGTAAGGGGATCTCAACCCTTGGCTTGGTGTTGTCAGCACCACGCTCAGCCAGTGAGCAAACCGGCCATCCCTATATAGGATCCAAACCCGTGGCCTTGGTGTTATTTATCAGCACCGCACTCTACCGAGTGAGCCACGGGCCGGCCTTAGAGACTTATTTTTGAAAAGCTTATTTTCTTGACTCGTGGATGTTAAAAATATAGTAAACTCCACACCTCATGCTCTGTGTAATTGGTCTTTTGGTATCCTTGAGCAATGATGAGGATGTGTTCCACAGAATGGTTTTACTGAAAGTTACTCTTTGAATCAATATGGCATAATGGGTGTGCTTAAAGGGTCTTTTAGTGAGTGCTTTTATCAACCAGTTACTTCACAAGTATGCCTTTATAAGCATATGGTTTGGAAGTATAGGGAATAAGATAGCTAGTAGGAAACACTGCAAAATGTGATGTAAATTAAGAGCCTGCTAGTTTGTCTCTAGAGAATACAGGCTAAGCCAGACTATATAGCACTATATGGGCAGAGCTAGTTTATGAATGGAAGCATGGCATTCACACTGACTGTCCAGTCAGGTTCCTTCTTCATAGGCTATATTTCAGTTTTTATTCAAAGCATGTTGACTTAAGAAGCCTTCTAGTGTATTATAGATACATAAAAATGACTTGTCTGTAGGCACATAGACATATTTTGCTTTAGGAAAATCCCTTTGCAAAGCTTATAGAGGCTAGCATTAAGCCTTAAATACTTTAATGCAGGCAATTCATTGCTTTAAGTAATACAAAAGGATTTTTTTTCATTTAAAAAGAATTTCTGATTTAGGAGAGAATTGTAATTAATAATGAGTATTATGATCAAAGCCTATATATATATATATCACTTTTTAAATTTTCAAAGAGCTAATCACTTAGGGATGGTTCAAATACATGTATATAGAGTTTCCCGGGAGAGAGGAGAGCTGGAGCAGGAGCGGAGTGGAGCACAGTCCTGCAAGCATCAGCTCCAACATCCAACCCGTGGTTGCAGGTGTGTGGGAGATCCATCACCTCTCAGCTTTCCAAAGTGTTGGAACTTCCACCTGAAAACTTGATCAAGTCAATATCTGCAGTTCCAATTTCCAAATAAAGAAGAAGTAGCTGATTTTCAGCTTTCTGTGGATTCTTTATTGGAAAACAACAATGACCATTCACGACCAGATATTCAAGTTCAAGCCGAGAGATTGGCAGAGAAGCTAAAATGTGATACAGTGGTGAGCGAAATCAGCACTAGTCAAGGGACTGTAAATTTTAAAATAAACAGAGAACTGTTAACAAAGACAGTGCTACAACAAGTACTTGAAGATGGCCCAAAATACGGATTAAAAAGTGAACTTTTCTCTGATCTTCCCCAGAAGAAGATTGTGGTCGAATTCAGTTCACCTAATGTTGCCAAAAAATTTCATGTTGGACATTTGCGTTCTACCATCATAGGAAATTTTATAGCAAATCTCAAAGAAGCTTTAGGACATCAAGTAACAAGAATAAATTACCTTGGAGATTGGGGCATGCAGTTTGGTCTCCTGGGAACTGGCTTCCAACTATTTGGCTATGAAGAAAAACTCCAGTCCAATCCTT